TTCATTGATGGAACACTCCATAACTAGTGGTTCCAGCATATATACACACACACACAGGACGGGGAATAATGGTAGCAAACTAATTCTGCTGCACCTTGGAAAAAATTTGTCTTGTTCTAAAATAAAAATAAAATATTAAACCATTTATTTTTTTTTGGTACAATGAACCTTCCAGTTTCCAAATCCCCTAGGAGACCGACTAATCCGGAATCGAGCCGGGTAGGACCACAAGGGCGGCAAAGCTCTACCTCAAGAGTTTTAACATTAAACCATTTATTTTAAGAAAGATTGAGAAATATTCAAATTATTAAGGAATATAAAATAAAAATATAATGATAAAATTTATAAAAAATTATTGATTAATAATGATTTATAGTTACAAGTATGTGAACTGGTGGACTACTTTTAATTGCAAATATATAATTTTGAATTGTGTTATTGGAAGATAATAAATAAGATAAAATATATAGTATTTTTTATTTTTTATTCTTAAATTTTATTTTGAAACAAAATCTTTACTGATAAAAGGTCCAATGGTCCAGGCCCTCTCTGTTTGCAGTTTGTACTCTCACTTTAAATTCCCCTGCATCAAGTTTCTCAGACACATTCAATGGTGAAAGAGAAGTGAGCCTAAATTTAACCTTTTGGTTAGTTCGATATACTTTATTATTATATATATTCATTACTTTGTGACGGGCGAAAATTGTAAAAAGTGAAAACTAAATATGATGACGCATTGACGCCAAATGTGTGACGTATAATGAGTGGCTCTTCTCAGTTTTGAATCTGATTATAATTTCGGGAGGATTTAACATCTATTACAATATCATATGTTTGTAATGATATGTGTGATCTAATGAATAAAATGATTGGCATTAATTTATATTTGAAGTATTTTAATTTCCTATACTTTATTTCAAAAGATGGCATGGAAATATTTGATGAAAGGCATCATGCAGTAATATTTTCTGTTCCTTTTGATTTTGTAAACTCGTGCAAAAATATTGAATAAGAAGAAACATAATGGCGAGAAAATTACATTAAAAATGAATCAATTGGAGGAGAGTGAGACAANNGATTGGTTTATGCAAACTCATGAGCACATTATTTTGGTAATTAATGAGAGCGGGACTATAGAAATTATGTCTGTGAGTTTATTGTTCTGTTAATTAAGAAGAACAAAATCAAGATAAACTGGTTGATTTGAATCAACATGTTAAGTAGATAATTGACAAAATTTTCAGAAGAAAATTGAAATTAGTCCTTAATTTAATTCTAAAGTATTCATGTTGTACCCAAAGTGGGCTTCGCTTTGCAAACTAATTAAGTTACATCATTAGAAGAAAAAAAAAAATTTAATACTTTACTTTAATTCATATGTGTGACGTTAATGTTTTGGGCACATGGTTAGAATTAAGGGCCTATTTTAGGGCCCTTAAATATGGTTATTTTGTGACTTTTCAGTCCATTTAAAGTCTTTTATATATAGGTTGGGGGTTCGACCTTAACCCCTACTCTCTTGGAATGTTATTAAAAAAAAAAAAAAAAAATGGCCTGTTTTGGGGAACTACTCAATCACAACACCTCTACAAATTAGAGTCGGGGCCGGCCCTGATCTACACCTAAGTGTGCCATAGCTTTTGAAACGCAACATTGTAGTAAATGATTGACAAATATGGTTCAATAATTTCGGAGTTTAATGACTTCTCCACATGGCTGTTAATTGGACCCATGCAATTGCAATTTTCCATGTGTTTAGGTTACAGATTAACACTCAAATAACTACTTAAACAAGATTATAAGAGTAATAAATTATGAAGATAATTAGTGTGCGTACATGTAATTACTATATAGTGTTGCATGCATTTTAAGTTAATCAAACCGAAATCTACTGAAAATTAAATTTGCATCAGAAGTTCGACATGGAATTTCTATTAGAAATACGGGTTGAGTTTTATTTTTTGAAAATCGATTTTGAATCTTGAGTTCATCCATCTGAATCTTGGCTCCTTTTCTGTATTATTTTTATATATATTTGCAATTTCTATATTCGAAATACGGGTTGAGTTTGTTTTGGCCATATAATGTAATGTGCCACAGTTGATAATAAACATGTCTATTGCTTCGAGAAAACATTTATAAAATACAGATTAATATTTCAAGTTACATTCATAACTCATGGCAGCCGGCAGAGTTACGAGAATTTAGGGGATTGGACTGCAGGTCCATCCCGGGGAAAAATAAAAATTGTCTCAAAATCATGTTCCAAATAGTGTTACATGTTACAAAATTTGTGTTGATTATACGGGAATCTATGAACTGACTGAAGACTTCAGTTCGTACAATATAAACTAGAACAGAAAATAAATTACAACTTAGGAGCAGAAAGATTAAAGCCAAAGCGAGTAAACTCTTTCTGTAAGACAAATACGTCATGTGTAGTGCTTATGAGTATGTGCGTAATGTCCCAAAAGCTACAACGGATATTCACTTAGAAGTTGTAACACACCAGTTTTCAGAGAGTTCCGGCGAACAAGAATAGAGCCGAGAAATGAGCAATGTATATGATGTGTGAGGCTTTCAGTATAGAATGATATGCAGTTATATGTCTTGTGGCTTCTGCAGCTTCTACACTGTCCTATTTATAGGACTTACAATCAGGCAGGAGATTACTCTTCAACTTGTAATTGCTCACTTACGGCTGTTGTAACTGGGCAGTTTCTCAAGTGTTAACTCACTTTCATTCCACCTGGTAACCACTGAAACGGCGGTTACGTGGTTGACAGTTGAACGATCACACGTCCAGGTTCAATGTACCTGAAGGTCTCTCATGGGTTAGGTCAAAACCCAAGTCCAAACCCAACTCGATCGGTTTGGATTGTATCTTCGACTTCAATATTAAAAATAAATTTGTACCCAAAAAATATATAGTGGTTGCCTTGCACAAGCCCTATATCGGCCCAGACCACTCAAGTCAAGCCCACAGTCTAAGGATCAATGCCCAAGTCCCAGACTCAGGCCCGTGCCCGAGTTGACCGCCCGCATGTGGCCGAAGCAAACACCAACACTTGGTATATAGTTTTGTTGTTGTTGTTGTGACATTTCCACCTTTCTTAATTATAATATAGATAGTTAATGTCATTTAAAAGTCCAATGTGAGAAGGACTTTTGACCATTCGAATCACACAACCATCATTTTACGTAATCATTTACGACTATCTTCAATCATTTATTTTTCACTTACCGAAAATAAGTTTTGAGAAAATAAATACACCATGAGGAAGTAGAATTTTTCTACATAATTTAATTAAACCTCAATAAAATATTTAGCCATAAAAATGTTCAGTCAAAACTGGGTCAAACTTCAGGTTTATAATTAATTTTTCAAACATTACATACTCACATTCTATTAATGCGTGTGTAATTGTGACTTATCATGAACATGTATGATGTATCATTGATGAAATGAAATTAAAAATGAAACATAATTATAAAATATGAAATCTCATTCCCCAACACTGTGCTTCATAATTTTATTTCGTGTAGNTTTCAATAATGTGCACTATAAAATCAAAAGAATATTCACATTTTGCGCATTTTTTTCTTTCTTTTTTTTTTTCAATATAATTACTGTTTGCATAATGTCTTCACGAGGACTACATCTTCGAAATTACAATATTCCAAATCACCCCGTTTCCTGATACGCTCAGGAAACAAACCACACAAAATTAAGAAAGTTAATACAAAAAGGGGTGGGGAAATTAAAAAGAAAAAAGAAAAAATCAGAGCCAGAGGGCGCCTGCTTCCTTGAGAAGGGGTACGAGGGCGCCGCTGATGTGAGCGGCCATGACCCCTTCCATGGCCCCGACGAGCCTCCCGCCGACGAAGACGGCCGGCACGGCGGCCTGCGGCGTCCCAAGCATGGCTAGGAGGGCGGCCTCGAGGTCCCGGCCCCTGGGGTCCTGGTCGATCTCGTAGACGGTGGGGCCCACGCCGAGGCTGCAGAAGAGGCGCTTGACAGCGTGGCACATGCAGCACGTGCTCGAGCTGAATATCACCACCGCGCTCGACGACGCCATCCGCTCTATGCGCTCCACAGGGTCCGTTGCCACACTGCGCTTCGGTGGAATGTTGTGGTTGTACCAGTTCCAACTCCCACCATGCATTTTTTTTTTTCTTCTTTTTCTTTTTCGGTGTTTTTACACACAAGGGCACACTGGCTGGCTCTGTGTGATTTTCGTCAAGGACGTGACGTATATATATATGTAAAGATCTGTACGGATTTTTTGGATGAGACTGATCGAGTAGGGTTTTATGAAAAAGGAGAGTTGGTTAGTAGTGGTATTTATAGGCGTAGATATATAATAGTAAGTCATATGGGAAGGGCTTTTGTAAGAGGACTTTTATTATCATTCTGTGGTTTCCTTTTCTCTCTCTCTTTTTCTGAATATCTATACGAGGATCTTCTTTCATCCATTTTACCACCCAACTAAATATTTGTCATATGTGCAAAAACTTATAATTCCCTGCCATCATAAGATATATAGTCCACATTTATGGATATTCAGTAATTACTAATATTACTACAATTAATTTTTTTTTTTAAGGAAAAACAAATCAATAGTAATCTATATTTACATATGATGTTGAAATGAAAAAATCAAGCCCTAATTAACATCAATATCTTGAGAATATCTATTTTTCATTATGTGTACTACTATGATTAATTGTGTTTTATTATTCTTTTAATCGGGGTGTGTTTTTATTAAAAATGCCAACTCAATGTATAATCACATTTGTGTAAATGACAGTGCATCCATGTATGAATTCTTATATATGCCAATACGAATAATTTGTGTTCAACATATACTTAATAACTACTTCAAAATTCTTTACATGTTATTCTCAACAAAACTAAAATAGCCAGCCCAAAAATGTTTCAAAGAGGACGAAAAAAGAATTTTTTAGTTCAATATCATATTCCATCCGATTTTTCTTACATTAATTTTTAGCAAGATAGGTCAAAATTGCACACTAGTGCTAGAAATTAGAAACGATTATTCCATACAAATTTTAGACTAATAATTATTTAACAGTACATAGGTAGAAAAAATAATAATGATAATGCCCCATTGCTTTTGTCGCTCGAAACATAAATCAAAGGGTGTAACATTTTCTTCTTTTTTGTCTTATTTTTCCCTCTTTAAATTCATCGTACATTCGGTCCATTCCTCGGAGAAAAAAACCTCACCGTCAGGTCTCTCTCACACACACCAAGTGTGCTAGTGTGTGCGTGTGAATTAAAACATTTATTAAATTAACTTCATAGAGCTTTTTGTATAGATTCACGAGTCCAGCACAGTAATTTAGGGAAGGTAATAAGAGACAAGCAGACATGGGGTAACCGGCTTTTACTACACAATAAAGAGCAGATTTGTTGTGATTTTCAATTTTACCTTCAGACGGCCGTTTATCGTCCTTGTTGTCGGCCTTAAATGTTAGTACTATGTTAATTGAAAAAAATAAAAAAGCAATGTATGGATCGGACATTTTAATGAATATATATAATATCAGTTGATATATAAACCGTGATTGAATGATGCCTGAACTTCAAATTAATTAAGATGTGATATGAATAAAACTTTTTTTTTTCTTTTTTACTATTGGGGACCTGCAACTTGTATGGGACCAGCACATGCAAATGCAATATTTAAAATTTTGGACCGCTTATTTGTATTTACTCTTATCTTAAATGGGAAAGTGGTTTAAAATTTTGTGCTGTTTCAATGTGTAATACGACCTTTTTTTAATAAGTGTCATTTGATTTTATTAACAATTAATCAAATAAATGACGTTATGGATCTTTTGTACATGTTTTTTCATTATTGCCCCCATCTAGCTAATAAATACACTACATCTTTTCATATTCACTATTCATCTTTTCTCAAAGCATCCATCTCTATCATCATTAATGAGAGTTACTATTGACAAAAAAAAAAAAGTTTTTTAATTACTGTACAACTTCACAAATCCACACTTATTAAAAAAGGAGGGAGTCCTAGAAATGAAAACAAAGAATATTCTGCACTGTACTTGTTCATTAGAGGCTTAGAGCATGCAAATTAAATCCCTCTGGTTAAAAAGATCCAACTTAATTAATTTACCAATTTGGAGTGGGATCCTCAGTTTACATGACACTTGGTTAATTAATTTGCAATCTTTGTTGTAGGATTTTCGAACTGAAATGAACTTATTTTTTAGCCAGGCCAAAATAGCGCGTAATCCTGCATTTTCAATAATAAATAAATGATTGATAATATGAGATTGGAACCAATTCATTTGGGTGGGACACTCACACAAGCCTTGACTGTAATTAAGTAGTCCCCTACAGTCAGCAACAAAGCCACAAGGCCCATAAAACAGTAGCCCTTAACTGTATTTCATGGCACCAACCAATCCAAACGTAGACATCTAAGCCATAGGTAGAAACTACTTTCTCTCTCTCACTTGGCACAACCACGTGCATGCGCGTACCTAAAAAGTTCTTGAAACTCGCACCCACTTTGCATATTTTCAAGAAAAAAAGGTGATAAAAACAGATGAGTGTAGCTTGACAAATCCTGACGTTTGCACTTGCTCTGTATTATGGTTNCAGTCTTGTTTTGGTGTAGGCCTGGATCCTTTGTCCCCTTTGGGTCGGCCCATTTTTTCCCTTTTATATAATTATATTGCTCGATCCATCAAGATTCTAATGGTCAATTGCAATTTCCGGAGCCGCATGCGAATTTGGTTTGGGGGCAGGAATTTTCTATCACTTTTTGGACAGGAAATATATATTTTTGCTGAATTAACTGATTAGAGAATGTCGGTTTCCTGTCGGTTTCTTAAAGTTGATAGCGCGCACTCCTGCAGGATGGAACGAACTTGTTTGAGATTTTTAATTTCAAGTGTGTCAAAGCGGATTAACAGTCAAACCCGTTGATCTGTTATATATTTTTAATAAAATTCTATATTTATTTTGTAAAATATCTTATTTTTTGTTTATATTTCTTAAGTTATACCAATTTAATTTGTGAAAATATGCATATTTAATGAAACATAGTTTTTTATAAAGTACAAATATTTTCATGACATAATTTATTAGATATTGAAGTATTTTTATATTGGTCTCCTATTACAAAAATACCAACCCACTTTGGCCCTATATGTACCATGAGCGGAGATAAAGTTGCCAATATTAAAGAGAGAGAGGTGTAATGAATGAATGTGTAGAAAGAAGCTCCATATTAATCAAGCTTGGAAAAATTTACTATCCAGTAACGAATTAAAAAGCCAGGACTTAATAAACAAGAAAGAGAGAGAGTAGAGGAGGAGCAAGATATATGCGAGAGAGAAACATACGTAGAGGGAAGCCACCGACACATGAAGATATTATTATTTTCTTTTATTTGTTGTATGTCTAGTTCTTTAACTATGTTTAATTGATTATGGTGACCGACAATTTCTATAAAATTATTTATGCTATTTTGTTTTATCAATCATAATAATATGTTTGATCTTAATTAGACTGATCACCATGATAGAAATTTTTTATTTTTTTCTGTCTCTCTAGATTCGAACATGTAATTTGTAATTGTTATTGAGTTTGAGTAGTAAGTTGTAACCGATAATCGAGTACTATTGGAATAGCACAACCTAAATTAGTCGAGCGTCTTACTATACTTATTAGTCTATTTGTAAATCAATGTTGCTATAAAATCAACTGGTTGGTTCCCTTATGGAACCAACACCCAATTAGACAGTTTCATGTGGGGCTGTCCCACATGGAGCCCATGTGGGACAGCCCCACATGGAGCAAAATCATTGGGTATTGGTTCCATATGAGAACCAACCAGTTGATTTTATAGCAACATTGTAAATTCATAAATCGTATTCTAGATGCACTATCTACTAATTAGATTTAGCTGAATAGCGTATTTAATGCAATATATTACTGCTTTCATACGATTTGATTCACGAATCAAAATTTGTCCCTACTATTAGATATTGAATGAAAGTTGACGAAAATATATAAATTCAAATTTACACATACAAGGCTCTACTAACGGCTAATCGGTGCCATCAACACTAACAAAGGCAACAAGTGGAGCACAACCGGGCCGGCTCCTGCGGGCCTGGGCTACTCACATAGCCACGCTACGCCAGCCAGCTGCATGAGCCGCGGCACAGAACTAACATATATGTTAATTTTTTTTCTTTTGATTGATTAATTAGCAACTGGCATAGATGGAGTTGGAGTCTGTTTAATTTTATTTGTTATTTGTGAAGATTGGCTATGGTTAAGTTGTTCAGATTATGTTTGCATGACTTAATTAGGTTGATGATTATTAGAAAAGGTAGGGACGTGACAAAATTTATATTGACCCACCTTTGTGTTCGTGGTTTATATCACTTTCAATCTGTATGATGAAGGATCGTGTGTCTCACCAACTCGACTTACTCGCAATCCGCGTCAACGCCTTGGTTCCTTCGCGATAGGTTGCTAATACGCGCGTCGATCGATGCCTTCGTACTTCACGATTTGTGAAAGAGAATCGGATGTTGGTCCTATTTCTAACACAATATTGCTTGTAAACTCACAAGAGTAAACTCGAGACAATTGAACAAATGTTCGGTTTTAATTAATTCTTCAATGATAAAATAGAATGAGTACATGGGCTATTTATAAGAAAAACTAGATTTAATCTTATGAGCACTATAACTTTAATCTATGAAAAATATATCTAATCTTAAGGTAACTAAATATCTTGCATATCAAGACTTACCAAAATAAATAAAACTCCTAACACTAAATAATCTCGCGGCATTAAAATACTAACCTAAATACTCACGACAATAATTAAATAAATATCCTAGCAACTAATATACTAACTCACGCTAACAATGCTAACTAAATATAACTAAATATTAATGACGTGAATAATTCCTAGCTAGCATCTCTACATTACTAATTCTAATACTAATCACGCCACTAACATATTAATCTAACACTAATAATAAGATAATTTAAAACTAATTACAATCTTCTAGATTATTTTGCCGCTCGACTCGCGTGACTCGCCTCGTGGGTTTGTGCATCGCGCCCACGCACACCTCCGCGTGCTTACTCGCGCGACCCATTGCCAACTCCCGGGTTCGACCGGACCACTATCACTAAGCGCACACGTGCTTCCAGGTCCAGGTCCATCCGTCTACGCTGTGCCCGTTCTCGACTCGTTTACAGACTTGTCAATATCCTTCACACTGTAAAATTCAAGCCGCCTTTCGATGGTTTCGACTCAAACTGTTGTCATGAAAATTGCCTTATTATATGTTATTAGTCATAAAAGATTTACTGGTAGTTTAGATTTTACTTAAACTTAAAATAGATTCCTTAGAGCATTTTCAATGATACATGAATTGTTTTTTAAAAAATGCTACATTACCAACCTAGTATACAACTAGGTTGACAACACAAGTGAAAACATCCACTTGTGTATTTTTTTATTTTTATTTTTTTGAATGTTTTCAATTGTGTTGTCAACCTAGTTGTATACTAAGTGGATGTAGCATTACTCTTGCTTTTTTTGTTGTTAAATGGCACAAATTATAATTTTACACATGTCTGTTGTCGTTACCATTAACTATGATAGATACAATTTTTTAATTTTTTTTTAAATATACCTAGTTGTATAATTTTTTTTTTTTTAAAAAAAGAAATTACAACTATGACCTGTCGGAAAACTTGGGCCCGACCCGACGAGTTAGAAAGAAGTACAACACGACCCGTAACCGGCGGGTTAGAAAGGAGTATAACACGATCCGTAACCTGTTCTTAAGGGATTCGCGGACCGTTTCCAGGCCAGTTCAAGGGCCGGGCCAACCGGTGGCTATGTCTACATACATGTTTACAACATAACATAAAATGAACAATTTTCTAAATGCTCATGAAATATTAATTAATAGAAAAACTCTAGAGAGCAGTAGATTAATAAATTGTCTTGAGTTTACCTTTGAGGCTCGAACGAAAACCAAAAATCCGATAAAAGCGGGCCATCGGATCCCATTTCCGGTTTATCTGTCCGTCGTATAAGCTCGCCGCCCGGTAGCGTGAACCACGTGCATTTCCAAACGCTCAAGGCCCGAAATCCTCCATTAGTCCACCTGAACTACCGGCACGCGCCACGGCTGGAAGATGAGCTCGAAGTCGGCGCCGCGGCACAGGCGCCGAGTGCCTATCCCGATCTACCTCGTCCTAATAGCAACATTCACCGTCCTCGGCCTATTGATGGTGGATTTCAGGTCCATCGATTCATCCTCCCAACTCCCAATCAGGAACAAAACCTCGGCAATCACCGGAGAGGAAGATACTTCAGCTAACGCGACGATGAGCGAGGCCATGGATGCTAATGCTCGAAAGACCTGCGCTACTGTTGAAGAGATGGGTGAGATTTTCAGCAGAGGTTATGCGGAGGAAAGCCTGAGAGTGAGACGAATCATTCACGATCACTTTGCCTTAAATGGTAATCGGTGTTACCTTTTATTCCTTTCTTGAAGTGATATTCGAATTTCGAAGGTTGAATTTGATCTCCCTGAGTAATTAATGCCTTTCTTGTTAGGTATTTGATGCTTAAAATTGCTCTGGATTTGATTAAGAACTTTTTACATTCATAGAGAATCTGTTTCCGCTAATCTTAGCAGACGTGTGTTTGTTGTGGAAAGCTATAATAATGAGCGTGGTTCCGTGCTATTAAGCTCCTTAGATATCGGACTGTATCAAATCTATGCATGAAATCTAAGATTGAAGTCGTTCTGATTGCATGTCTACGGGCATTGTTTATGGCTTAACAAGCAGAGCTGTATGTTATAGGTGGTATTCTACCTTTAGTTTACTGACCAAGTTATCAACTACTTATTATGTACCTTCAAACACTCTATGATGGTGAGTGGTAATTGTTTTTCTTAATCTCACTTGCCTCTGGACACTATATAGTTTGATTTTCTTGGGCTACTTAGTTGAACGTTGTGTGCTATATGTAATTGTAAGATTGCATAATTTGATGTTTCACAGATCGACTGCTCCATTTTGGAAAATTAGCTCATCTTCGTCTCCTAGAAGAAGGGTGATAACATGTTACAGGAATCTTCTCATCCTTTGCACAATCTTATAGACAACATTTCTTGCAATGAATGATTAATTTTGTGAATTACCAGATAAGAAATAGGGACTTATATGGAGCTCAAATGAAGAGTAAAAGTAATGGTTGGATTTTGATTTTCATGGAATTGATCTTATTTTTAGGTGCATCGAGAGTGAGGGAACTCCATCCAGAGGAATTCTGCAATCATGGTTTCGTGATTGGAAAAGCATCAGAAGCTGGTCTGGGTAATGAACTATACAAGATCATAACTGCTGCAGCCTTGAGCGTGATGCTAAACCGATCATTGATAATTGGCCAAACCAGGCATATTGGTTCTCTCTCAAGCCTTTCTGTTTTGCATTAACTTTGGAATTTGTGCCTCTAAACTATTGCTTCACAAATAAACAAATTACAAGCCTGCCACCTGCTATGCCCCCATGTCCCTAATTTCTGAGAAGGATAAGGAAAAGAGAAAAGATTTCACCATCACGATCTTAATGCATTGTTGGTTTGGTTTGCCTATATCCATTCCTGGTGTTCTATAAGTATCTGAATTAGGAAGCTAATTGTTGTGCATTGCTTTAGGAAAGCAATAAAGGGGGGCTGCAGTAGACCTAATCAAGTGGTGAAATGTAATAGATATATGGAGAAGAGCCTTTTTCCCCTTCTAAATATTTGCAGGATTTTCATTAAGTTACTTGTGTATTTTCACTTGCAGAGGTAGATTTCCATTTGGTGATTACATTTCCTATTCCAACGACTCGTTTACGTTGAAAGAAGTGAAGCACTTGTGGAGACAGAATCGTTGTCTGACAAAATACGGAAGACATCTAATAATGAGGCTCGATGATTTTCAGAAGCCAGCGAAGACAAGTGTTCTCTGCAGTAACTGGAAAGAATGGGAACAACCAATAATATGGTAATGTATAAAAATCATTTAAGGCTGGATATCCACAACTTGTTACAGAATCATTAAATCACCTTCTGTCAGGTTCCAAAACACTACAGATGCTGTGGCTGCCCAGTTTTTCTTAAAGAACGTACATATGGAAATGAGAGAAGCCGCTTTTGATCTTTTCGGGAGCCCGGAAAAGCTTCAGTACAGGGCTAATGTTTTTGGTGAGCTCATGAGGATTTTAATGTCCCCTTCCAATGATGTTGAACGAGCTATAAACTGGGCTCTTAATGGGAGAGACCCTGATATTGCCCTGCATATGCGAATGATGATGAATCGGTAAGAAAATCTCACTTTTGAAACCTCAGCAACTGGTTTAATTAAACAAATAAAAACTTGGGTTTATGCTGACAGTGATACCAATATTACGGCCTACTAGCTTCTATTGTTATTATATCTATGAAATGTTGAATTTGGCCCAACATTATGGAGCCTTTATGAACTTTATTTTCAGCTATTTGTTGGGTCAACAATCAGTGTGAGAAAACATGTAAGAGAATTATTTCATTTTTTGCATATCATGATCTCACAGGAGATTTTATTTACTTATGCAGATCTGTAAGAGCAAAGCAAGCAGCCATGGATTGCCTAAAAAAAGCAATACATAATAATCTCCCGTCATTATCAAAACCTAGAGTTGTTCTGGTGTCGGATACCCCTTCTGTTGTGAAAGATATTGCACCAAGTTTGGAGGAATTTGCAGAGGTAATAGTTCCATATCTCTTACCTTTGCTGTTGATTGTGTAGTTACCAATTCTCCTTGAAGCTCTTAATTGTTTATATAATTAAGCTCATAAGCACACTTCTCTCCTCAGCTTTTAGGAGAGGAGACATTTTGTACAATTGATCGTGTCCTTGCCTTATATAATATAAAGACATTATTTGTTTCTTTTTCAGCAAAACACGCTACTGATAATTCCATATGATTTTTCAGGTTCTTCACTTTGATTATGAAAACTTTGATGGAAATGTATCTGGAAATAATAACAAATCAACAGCCTTAAACTTTAGAGTCAAGGATTGGGGACCGGCACCCAGATGGGTAGCTTTTGTTGATTTTTTCCTAGCATCCCGTGCCAAGCATGCTGTTATTTCCGGTGCTCACCGACGTGTCGGGACAACCTACGCTCAGTTGATTGCAGCACTTGCAGCTGCATACAGACTTGGTAATCTGCATAACTCCACAGGAATTACCAAATTCCCCTGTTAAGCCTGTAGCTAATGCATCAATTTTTAATACAACTCGTACTACTACAAAACACCAAAAAAATGGCTTTACCATGAAATTCCTAAATAAACAAATATCATGAATGATTTTATAATTTTAAACAACTTTTTTTTTTCAGGTAATAAAACTGAATTTAAGGTGTAATTTTGTAATTAACCTGAACCATCCATTTCCTCACGAATTTTCTTTATCCGATTCACAGATTGCGAATCTTCCGACAACTGCTCGAGCATCACATTCCTCAGTAGCTTCCAAAGTAACTTGCTCTCAGATGGCTTGAAGAATCAGGTAGGGTGGGGCCACGTGTGGAATAGATTTGCAGGTCCACTGAGCTGTCACGGGCAGGCGAGCCAATGTGCTTTGACGCCTGTTCTTCCTCCTGCTTGGTGGGACGGGCTCTGGCAGTCCCCCATTCCACGCGACTCCCGTAGGATGGAAGCCTATGGCGTCAAACTTTCGGGTTTCGGGACAGTTGACTATGGCGCCCTGAAAAATTTCTGTCAGTCCAGAAAAAATTCGGTGGTTGGAATTCAGCTTATCTAAATGCTCAGGCGTGCGGTGCCATCGATGAATGACAAGTGTCCCAAATCTTTTTTGATACGAGAATATGTACATCAGGATGTGGAGCTGGATTTGGTGTTGTTTGTTGTACACTGGTTTAATTCATTCATATTTGTAGCGTGTATTGGTGGACACTGTATTGTATCTGGACATTCTGAGTTGTGTGGCATGAAAAATTGATGATGCTACTAATAATTCTTTTGGATGGAGATCTTGGTGTGAGCTGGATTTGGTGTTGTTTGTTGTACACTGGTTTAAAACTCAAACACCGTCTGTATTTTAAATTTTGGTTGAACAAGCGAGGCAGCATGTGGCGCATGGGTTCAATTTTCAGTGTGCTAACTGTATGACCATCAAAACCAAAAGCCATTGGTTTGGTGAAGAAGAATATAGGCAAAATATTAAGGTGAGTAAGTTGATTATCAATTGGTTTGCTCGTTATTCATTTTCCATTCTTTCTTTCTTCCGTTGGCGATGGATATGATCATTTCTTTTGTGCCGCCCGTAATCATCCCTCCCACATGTTGACGTTGTTTATGAGCTCGTTGTTTTATTTGAAAGTATTGTTGGGTCACAAAATCTATAATATTATTTGATTATTACGTTAATTCCGCATTTGAAAATGATATGTAACTATTTAAAGGAAATCACAACAAAAAGTAGAGTCATAAGCTTTTCTTCATCACAATGAAGATAGTGCCTCCCAAAAAAGTTGTTTTTTCTTTAAGGATCGAGGAAATAATTAGAGGCATATTTATGTTTGATTACTTTGGTTGCACTAAATAAAACCATTTTATGTTTTGATGGAATATTTTTAAAATAAGAATCGTACTCACAAGATTGAGCCATAAAATTTAGATTGACGCGACTTTATTGTATCAAATTTTTACAATTTTAATAGTTGTAAATCCAAAACGAAATTAGCAAGAAAATTGAAATTCAACTCGTACTCCTAAACAGATAATTTTTTTTAAAAAAAATTAGCCCAATATTCCGACAATTTGAAGAGAAAATAAAATAAAATGTGAGAATTTATTGAGTCCGGTCCGTCCCTTAAAAGAGGAGAAGAGAAAAACCGATCGACAACAAACTCCATGTGGGACCCATCGCACTCCATAAACCAGTGGGGCACCGCCACGTCATTTTGACCTCACTGTAAAGCGTGAAACTTCACATCGCATCTCAATGTTCCCTCGAGACGGAAAAGGGAAAAGCAAAACTGCAAACTCACTCACATACGCAGAGGAAAAAAAAATCCTTCTTCCCAAACGCACCCATACACCGTCTCATGGCCTGTCAGCCGGAATATTCTTCTCGGTTCGTCAGCTGAGTCTCTCGCCGGAGAATTTCAGAAGAGCACGCGCCTCAGGCGGCTGACCCATATATATATTTTCTTTTAATTACTGCATGTATGTATAGTTGATCTTTTGTGGGAGAGGGTTTCTGGTAAAGCTTGGGTGGGAGATTTTCGGGGTAACAAGAAACATGTACGTGGTTCCTCCTCCTGATAGATCCGATCCGTTATCGGGATCCGAAAAAGGGTCGTATGAGCTCCGAGTTTACCAGACATGGAAGGGTAGCAATGTGAGTTTTTAACTTACTTCTTTTAATAATTATTTCTTTAATGTTGATTTGAGTGACATTTTTTCCTTAGTGCTAAAGATTTTATCTTTTGTGAGCTCGTTGTTTACCTTGTTACTTTCGGACGGAGGGAAACTTGTTGCTAGGTTTTGTGAACTGGAACACTTGGTCAATGTGCTCTTGCTTGGTGATTAGGTTTTTGTTATGAAGAAAAAGAAAAGAGATCATGGAATAAAGCTAGTCTTTTATTTAGTTCTATTTTAGCACATTCATCATTGACAGTTATTTGGCTGGATGTGCAGTCTCCTTGGAGCAGTTATTTTACCACAAGGAATTGTGATATGTACACTAAAAGGCAGTAAAGCTTAACTGTAATATTAGTTGTTTAGTTGAAGTATACCATTCTTGTTTTGGGATCGAAATCGTACGAGACCCAGATTTAACTCTAATCAAGACCGTAGTGTTGCTTAAGAATGTGCTGGGCAGTAGGCGTGGGTTTTCTTGCTTTGCCCTTCAGCTCAATTTTTACTTCCTGGCCTCTATTGAAACCGGCATTCTTTTCACCATTGTTTTGAAAATCCTGCTCTGAAGCACAGATTTTGGAACATGCAGATTTATATACTAGTTATCCATTCTTATATTTGATTCAGTATATTTAATTTTGACTGTTTACTTCTTTTCCTGTTCCAGAAATTTTTTCTTCAAGGAAGGTTTGTTTTTGGCCCAGATGTAAGGTCACTGGCTCTCACCATATTCCTGATCGTGGTTCCGGTTGCTGTTTTTTGCGCCTTTGTTGCTAGGAAGCTAGTGGATGATTTTACTGATCACTGGGGAGTATCAATCATGGTCATTGCCATTGTTTTTACACTTTATGTACGTTCTCTCAGTTCTCTCGAAGGCACTAACATGACAACGTTATATATTGGATGGCGTGCTTGAGTTGTTTATTTTGTCTTATTGTGTAGTCCAAAAGTGCTAGGTGCTTGCAGGCAGGAAAAATGGAGTGGGTCTATTTGATAAGAAGACTATGATAACCTCTTTTGTCTTAATTATATTCTGAGAATTGTGTATTATATTCTACATATCCAGAGAAAGATAGTACTTTATTCACTCGAGTAGAGACTTGAAAGTACTTTAAATTTACTGGTTGCGCTCCGTCTAGAGAGGCTTAATATTCTGATATCCGAATGTCTCAATCTAAAGTTTAAAGACGAATATTTATTTACTGATTACTTGAGAGGACGGGTATTACAGAACACCTTATCCAAGCTACATGCCTACACCCACTATCGACTTTCCCACTCCTCAATTTTGGAGCATTGGTACTTAGTCTCAACGGTAGTTAGCGATTTTAGCTTTAATGGAACATGTACACCAGAAAGTGTGACCTTTATCTTCTAGGTTGATCTCTGATGTTCTAAATCAGTCGTTTAATTGCTTCAATATAACTTCATTAATAGACGCTACATATGTGGTTAAGTATTAATAATAAACTAATTATCCATCGTGCGTGAGTTTATTATTCACTTCCATTAATTAATTTTCAGGATTTAATTCTTCTCTTGTTAACATCTGGAAGAGATCCTGGTATAATCCCTAGGAATGCACACCCTCCAAAACCTGAAGGGTATGATGGGAATGCGGAAGGCACTCAAACTCCACAATTACGGTTACCTCGCATTAAAGAAGTTGAAGTTAATGGTGCCACGGTGAAAATTAAGTACTGTGATACATGTATGCTTTACCGGCCCCCTCGGTGCTCACATTGTTCAATATGCAATAACTGTGTTGAAAGATTTGATCACCACTGCCCATGGGTTGGGCAATGCATAGGACTGGTAAGATAATGAATGCATGCATCTGAATACTGGAAGTGTAATTATACTGCTCCTTATATCTATCATCTGATCACATTATTTCTTATATGCAGAGAAACTACCGATTCTTTTTTATGTTTGTGTTCTCGACAACTCTGCTATGCATATACGTTTTCGGTTTCTGCTGGGTGTACATTAGAAGGATCATGGTGACGGAGGAGATTTCAATATGGAGGGCAATGATGAGAAGTCCTGCTTCCATTGTTGTGATTATCTACACTTTCATTGCAGTTTGGTTCGTTGGTGGCCTAACAGCTTTCCATCTTTATCTGATGAGCACGAATCAGGTTAAGAACATTGCACTCTTTTGTTAAATACTCGTATGGATCGTCGTTGTGCAGAAATTAAGAAAAATTGCATGATGGCTATTATATTATTTATTGCAGACGACCTACGAGAACTTCAGATATAGATACGACCGGCGTGCAAACCCCTACAACAAAGGAGTTGTGGAAAACTTGAAGGAGATATTGTGCGGGCCCACGCCTCCCTCCAAGAACGACTTCCGGGCCCTGGTGCCTCGCGCGGCTGGTGGCTTCGTGAGCCCAAACATGGAGATGGGCCGGAAAGGCGTTTGGGGAGATGTGGGTGACAATAAGAATGGGAAGGAGGAGAGTGGATTAGGTGAGATAAAGCGGTTGAGCTGGGGAAGGAAGAGTGGCAGCTGGGAGATGTCGCCGGAGCTTCTTGCGCTGGGAGACCCCAACAGGACACCCGCCGCTAGCAGCAATGTTTTATGACACAACACACGAGTTCCTCTCCTTTTATTATTAATCCTATTCCTTGTGGTGTGGTGTAAATGATGAAAAAAGGGATTCAAGTTTGTGTGTGTATGGCTAATCATATAATGGTGTGCTTGTGGAATTAGAGTCTACTAGTCTGTTTTTTCTCTGCATTGTGATTGTTAATTGTTGTCTTGTACCTTATTTCTGGTGCTCTCATGTGTGGTCTCTGTGTTCTAATGTTCATTGTTAAATAGTTCTAACCTTGCTTGAAATGGTTTTCAATTTTTCCTTGCGTTTTTAGCAGAGGAAGTTTGGATGGATGTAAAATTTTGGTGATTGGTGGAGGCAATATATTACTATTTTGATAGTTGGTGAGATGAGTAGTAAATGTGTTATGACTTATGAGAACAAGTGAAGGTGGAAACCTGAAAAATTTATGGAAAGGCCAAAGGTAAGCTATAAGCTTTCTCAGGAGTTATTGCCAATTCAACCTATTTTTAGGTAGTGGTGGGACAAAGTGAATCAACGTCCACGACACGGTGGTTGATTTTAAATTGAACGGCTCTATAGAAAAATCCAATATTGCTTAAAATTATTGTTTGTATTCAAGCTCCGTGTTGAAGACTGTGATTTCTTAATCTTCCCATAAAAATTCTCAAGAGTTATTGGCATTAACTGTTGTTCTCTTTTCCATAATTCTTTTGGGAGTGGACGTAGATATTATAAGAAAAATAATGTGAAACTAAAATGACTCAAGCTGAAGATGGGTAATAGTACAATTTAAAATATAAAATGTTTGTATTTCGAAAATTATGATATTTCACCTAAAGTATGAATGCATCAATTACATGAGACCATAGTTCATCCGAGCGGAAATGCACGATAAAATGTTATACTAGTATTTGTTTATATGGCTAATTAACCGCTTAATCATCATCTATCCCGCTTAATTATCGTTGAATTGTTCAACAAACGTATTGCTCAGGTGCCAACGATTAAATATGTGATTTTTCTAAATACAAATAATATCACTCCAACATCTCCACAATTACTACCTTAAAACATAACAAAGTATAAAAATCAAGGGTCATTCTTATATCTCCGCAATTACATTCTCAGAGAATCTATACAATTTTACTTCAATCAAAAGCCAATCATAAGAGAGAGTCACTGACACTTGGGAAAACCTTATAATATTGGGCACAACCCACAAAGTTAATATTTCCATATCAGCAACTGCCCCCTTCTTTTAAACCTTCATTTCCTTCCTTTCCTTGTAAAGTTAAACAACTCAAAGCTCTACTCTCCCTGCTACCCGCACAAACAGACCATAAAACATAACCCAAAAAAAAAGCAAAAAATTCTTCGCAATTCACCAATTCAAGTTAGCTGGTGAGTATCTTTTTTCTTTA